ACCAGGCTGATTTGGGCTTAATAAGTGGCTGGGCCTATTAACCGTGGGCTTAATAACCGGCGACTACCGTACCTTCTTTCTTTTCACTGTTGTGCATTTACATTTGACAGAGAGCTTTCGCTAAAGAACTATGTATGGGCGTCTTCATTGGCCGTCTCCTGTTCAACGTCAGACCTCAGCAACCATTTATCGGGCCATCCATTTAGACGTTCATATTCCTTCTCGCAGTTTCCATTCATCATTCTTACATCTGCTCGTTCGTTATACTTTGATGTCATCTGCAAAAATGACTCCTTTACGGGTTAGTACATTCATGCAATCATTGAGAACCGAGTGCAGACGTACTGCCATCAAAACTGGCACTAGCGTTGATTTCGCATTGTCAATGCTAATTTCGAGGAAAGCTGATTGGACTGGCACCCCCCGAGCGAACTCATATCTGGCCTGTGGTCTGACTTTTTAGACCTATAGACACTGATGTTTGTCTCACATAGACCTGCCTGCTTGCTATGCGACAGCTTTGAATGTGGTAGTTTACTAATCCTTTTTCTGTTATATTTATTTACAGCCGCAGCGGATGAAGTGGACTCTGACAGTATCTACTTTGAGGTCGATCGGTCTGGGACGGTGCACGTCTTCTGGAAGGAGCCCCCGGATCCCAACGGTGTCGTCCTCTACTATTATCTGCGTTATCGTCGGCTGGACAATCTCCCCCAAGCTGCCACCAATACCTCAACGGTAGTTGTTTAGTCCCTGTACTGCTTACTTCTATATCATCACTTTATGCAAAGCTGGTTACCAGTGGTTTCTACTTCAAGCTTTACGAGGGGAGTATCTATGCATGGTTCCTGCCGTTACTGTGTTTTCCTGTATCTGTATCCCTGTGCTAAGCCAACCCTCTGAACCCTAGTCAGATATTTAACTTGCATATTTATATTTGTTGTTGGTCTTACTTTGGGTACACCATTTGTTGCTAGGACGTGCTTTTTAGGCGAGTGAAATCACTTTGTTTGTCTGTGCTTTGCCAACGATAGTGGTGATTGAAATCCCCTGCTTATGGCGCATAACTCCATTCGTAGTATTACGCGATCTGGCTGATTTTGCGGTCCGTTCTTCGGACCTCGGAACAGTTTACGTGATCAGAATTCTCTTGGGAGCTCTTATCTTGCACCCTAAACTGCGGGTTTTTCGCTACGCAGACGCAGGGACCAAGTATTTGCCGAGTCGCGAGTTCAAGCTTCGAGTGCAGCACCACTTGGGGTTGGGTATGACTGGCTGATGATGGCTAATGAGCGAGAAATGGCCTTCCCGATCTCCCTAGTCGTTGTCAGCAATGCTAGTTACCGATGTGGCTTTGATCGGACTCCAACCTTTATCCAAAAACTGGCTATGTTTTAGTACAATGTTCCCTATGTGGAGGTAGGTCTTCGTTAAACAAATACACCAAGTATTTGGACGGTTTCAGTTCTTCCTCGATCTTTAGGTCCAAAACAAAGAAATACGGCAAACTATGTATTGTGTGTGTCGTAGCCCATAGTTGGATCAGGAATCCCCGCCGGAATTCAAACTGGGAGTAGTTGGGAGACAGAGAAAAGCCGCGACCTCGACCAGTTGAGCTAAAGGTCCGCCGGAGTGAGGTAGGTGCCTGGCCTCCGTATTGTAGGATGCAGCAGCAACCGAGCTGATTGCCCAGTAATCATCACTCGGCATATAACGTAAACTTTCTGCTTTATTCGTAGAAAAGCACAACAGGCGTTAATAAATTGCGGTAGATCCGTGTTATTACGAATCGAACTGAACAGATGTTTGGTATTTTGAGTAGGAGTAATTTTTTACGGTATTTCCCTATCGTTGTGATCGGGTTGTGATGATGAGGTCTTGCGCAGCATTTGTCTCACTCTATCTTCCCACACATATTGCGTTCTGTTAACAGAAAAGGATCAAAAAGTCTAAGGCTATGGTGTTTGGACAAACTAGGTAGTGCGCATGTGCATTTACCGCGCAGCATAGTTGAACTCTCGTTCGTGCGCAAACCATGCCTCACTCAAATTTGCCTATTTCAAAAGAGATACTGGCCGTCTTCCTTACATGCAGCCAAAACAGCTCCAAGATTGGGTCTTGACTGCCTTCATCCTCTCTACACAGATGGGAGCTGCAGTATGTACGATGGAATCTCGATTAACGAGTTTAATCCGTTGTGGCACCGAGCTCGTCTTCTTAAACGCTCGTCTTGTCAAACGTAGCCAATCAACCTGCATCATGTTATTGATTGGTTGTAGGCGACCGAGGACCCACGCTAGGGAGGCAAGACTCAATGGCGGACACAAGCACACCCACACGCACGCACTGACAGCTCGTTAACTAAACGGTAGTTCGTCAAACGAAACAAATGTTTTGCTAGTGGCTCGCTTGTTGTCTGAAATGCTCACAGATGAGGCTCCTCGTCACCCGTGGCTCAACTGCGCAATAAGTATTTGGATAATTTCAGTTCTTCCCGGCCGTTTGGCCCTAAAACAAAGGAAATAGGCAGACTATGTATTGTAGAATGCAGTGGCAGTCGGCGTGGCTGACCAAAAACCATTATTTGGTATGTAAACTTTACGTTTTATTCGAACAAGAAACCCGGTCTATGGTTGTTATATGTACATCAGGTCATAAAATATCGCAGTAGACAGATGCGAATACTAGACCGGTCGGACGACTGAGTCCCACGCCACTTCAAGAAGCATGGCACTCGCACGCGGACTCTATTAATAGGCATATCGATCTCGCATATGCCCATCTCGCGTTGCGTGAGCAGTGGCAGGGCTCAAGGTCACTCGCGGCGGAGCGAACAATGGGAACTAAAGGTCACCCCCGGCAGAGCTGACTTAATCACGCAGGGAGCTGTACGTTTTCATTCCTTGACAAAGTCCTGGAGTGAGTCTGAAACGTCGGGCAAATAAAATACTGGTCCCAGAGAACATTCTTCCGCCTTCTATCTAATTACCTGGGCCTCGCATATTTTCGACCATTGACTAGATGACAAGTGGCTAGAGGATTGGTGTCCTCAGTAGTAATCGCGGTTGGCAGTTTAGGTGTCGTAGGCCTAAAGTTGAGGTTGCGGGACTTGCGATTCGTCTATCTCATTCCTTCTTCCACGCGTAATGCGTTCCGTTACCAAGAAAAGATTTAACAAAAAACAGGGGTTGTGGTTTTAAGCAGTGTATGCATCTACACGTGACACGCAGCACAGTAGACCTCTCGTCCACAAGCGAACCACGCCTCGCTTAAAATGGCCTGAATGGAAAAGATACTGGTTGTCCTGCTCACCTGCAGTCAAAGCAGCTCCTAGGTTGTGTTTTGACTACCTTCATCCTCTCTCCGTAGACTAGAGCTGCAGTCTGTGCGCTAGCGCGCGGGCGGGTAGTGGAGTCGCTTTTTAATTCTCTGTGTGCATTGGACAACTTTATACGTCACTGGCGCGCAGGCCAGTCTG